ACTCCCTCTTTCAATCAGAAAAGAAAAATGAGATACAACAGACAGTGAACAAGTAAAACACTGACTAAGCTGACTACGAAAAGAATGAATAATGAAGATGAAGCCCATTTACTGGCACATCCTAGCATAAGTCTATGAATTTTAGAACTCAATGCTGATTACATCTCTTGTTACAGCTGGGACCTTTTTGTAACATATGAAAGCAATCAAGTATCTTAAATTAATTGAAGTGTTAATAATTAGTTTTTTTGTTATGTCTTTGCATCATTTCCTTCTCCTTATAATGTTCTTTACAAATACATAAAATGATACTTTTAGAGCTTTAGCAGTTCACAGAATTGTGCTGATAAAAGTTCGTTTAAAAAAACAAAACAACGGAATTTTATGCTATAAAATTGAGGCCTGTTGCCATAGCTTTGCTGATATACTTTTCTCATCCTCATTGTTATTTTACTGGGAAAGCTTTTCCAAAGAGTGTAGGATGCCGGGTACTCCAATAAAATATTTCCGAGATGTGGGAAAATTTTGGTTGGCATCATTAAAAAAGTTTTATTGCACATATTACTTTTAACTTTCTTGGATTTCAATTGACATCTTACAACTTGTATCCTTTTCTATTTGCCCTGTACTCCTTTCCCATCCACCATGTTGCCATATTGTTAAGTTAAAGATCAACATCCTCAAATTAGCATGAACTGTCACTGCATAGCAGCAGCATATTGTATAATATCCAACAGTGAAATAAGTACCCTTTTACTGGATTATTCAGGATTATTTTAAGTTCCTCAAAAGTTGTTTGTTTCACAGTAAGGTCAAATTTATTGCCAAGTAGAGAAGAAAGTGATCATGAGTACATTGGTTTCTAGTCTGAATATGATATTTTTCTGAAGAAAGTTTTTATCTTTCAGATCCTTTCGCATCTTCAGAGATGGTTAGTGAGAGGGATAGTTTCACAGTGCTGCTAGTGAGCTACAGAACTCTGACTTAGAACCCGTTACATCTACACATGGCTTAACAACATATTATCCACATACATGTGGTGTGCAATGACTGAAGTATCCCCTTCTTCCTATTCCTATTCAGTTGGATGGGTACCTGATCCAATTTGAAGGTTCTCATTATTGAGAGAGGTTCTCATTATTGAGATTGGATTACTGTAATGCCCTTGAAAACGGCCTGGAAATTTCAATTGGTACAACGGGCGGCAGCCAGGTTACTAACTGGTGCGACTTACAGAGAGCTGTCAACCCTCCTGTTTAAGGAGCGCCACTGCCTGCCATTCATTTTCTGGTCCCAATTCAAGGTGCAGGTTGTTACCTACAAAGCCCTGAACGGTTTGGGACCCACCTACTTGCGTGACCGCATTTGTGTGTACGAATCCACATGATCTCTTCGATCATCTGGAGAGGCCCTTCTCGCACTCACACCTCCTTCGCAGGCGCGATTGGTGGGGACGAGGTAGACGGCCTTTCAATGGTGACCCCCTGACTCTGGAACTCGCTCCCCAAGGACATTAGACATGCCCCAACTCTGGCAGTCTTTAGGAGGAGCCTGAATACGTGGTTGTTCCAGTGTGCCTTCCCAGAATCAGGAAAACTTCCCAGAATCAGGATTTAGGATGGACTGCATTCCCTCATCTCTCCTTGGAAGCCCTATACCAGTCATATCCTACCTTGTTCATGCCAGCGTTATTTTTAAAAATCTTTAATCTATTACATTTGGCCTGACCATAGATTTTTAAATGCTTGTGTGTTACTGTTTACTGTTTATTGTTTATGTGATTTATATTAATTGTGTTGTATTTATTGTTTTAGTTATTACTTTTGTTATTATGTACTGTGGGCTTGGCCTCATGTAAGTCTCACCGAGTCCCTTGGGGAGATGGTAGCGGGGTATAAATAAAGTTTTATTATTACTATTTTTAGACACCTTTTGTGACATTATTCAGATTGTAGCCTTGTCCCCATTAACTCCTCAGCCAAGCACATAGGCAAATGTGTGATAACTGTCAGAATCTGTTATTGAGAGTATCGGTAGGGTAAAACTAACTTTAGGTTGTACCTGGGATTGTGAGGCCCCAGTAAGGAGAAAGATAGTTCTCATTTTTTAAACATGTCCGGTTTATTATATTTTTGGCTTGGTTTTTCATTAGAACATACACAGAATTAATTGACACAAGTAACCCATGGCAGGAATCCTGTTGGTTATTCTCAAATAGAAATAGATCTATTCAGTCAATCATTAAATTATGAGTCAGCACGTTCAGTGGGTTTACTCTAGTCAGAGTGATTGCCCATGAGAGAGAGTCAGAACTAGCAACAGGATTTAGCCCATGATCTGTTCACATTTGGTTTATCATTTAGCGTTCCCTAACATAATAACAACAGCTATTAACTTAACTTAACCATCTTGAAATATTGTGCAGCTGTTAACATAAACAAGGGTTAATGTCATATAGTCTCATTTACAGGAAGTTTAGTGGAGATAAATGCCTGTTGCCTCTAAAGGAATGCTGGCTACCGTATTGGTTGGTCCTGCCTGTTCGTCCACTGTAGCTTCCTTGGCAGGTTGAGGTAGTTGGAAGTTGAAACACAAGTCATCTTCTCTAGGAGCCATGACTAAGAGCATCTAGATTTAGAAGAAAAAAGTTGAATGAATGGGTACAATATCAGTATCCAAATCAATAATGTTGGTAAACTGCTGTTAATCCCAACTGTGTGTCAGTGTGAGCTTTGTTAGTAAATATGTAATTAAACTCCATTAACCCTGATTTGATGAATTTGATATAGTTGGATATGTGATTTAAGACGCATGCATACTGATATTTATTTCAGTGTTATTATGAGTAGATTCTACTTGAGTTTTTTTTTTTGAAGAATTAAAAGACATAGCCATGCTATTTTGGATCAGTATGCAAAGGGTTAGCACTAATTAGTCTCAAAGGTGCTACAAGAACCCTTTTCATTGTGTTTTTTTTGTCTACATAATAAAATCTCAATATGAAGCTCCTTTGTGTATTTTTCCATTTAAAAATTGTAAATGGTTTGTGGTGTAAGTAAACTCAGTACAGTATAATACAGTTTCACATTGGATGACAAAGATATGAATGCAAATATGCATATGACTGATTTAATGCTCTAATGCTTGCTTGTCACTGAGTGGTATTTTTGGCTATCCTATTTGTCCATGTAGTATTAAGCTGTGACCAGTTTTGTAGCACAGTGCACTCACTTTGATCTTTTGGTGACTTAAAAGAACTAATATTTTTGCAGTAGAATAAAACCTTGTGTATTCTGAAACTGGGTTGGTTAGAACTGCAGGTACTTTCTTTCTCATCCTATTCTTTATTTATATAGAACAGATTTACATTTTCAGCACTGACAGAACAAACGATGTAAAGCAAATGCCACAGTTCATGAACTGCTCTTTCCAGATTATCTGAATTGTTGTAGCCTAAAGCAAGGAGACGGTTTTCGTTGTATTATTGTTGCAATGCAAAATACAGCTTAACAAGAAATGGAAATATTGTTTAGTGGGAAGATTGTGGCTTTTGTTTATCTTATCTGAAATGTGGCTAATTAGAGACATTGCATTGATAAATAGTGCATACAGCTTGAGAAGCCTCATGTTTCTGTTTTAATAGTGTTGAAAATCAAAAAATATCCTATAGTTTGTTTCCGTGATTGAACTGATTCATCTTCAGAAACATCTAAGTCTTTGAATTCAGCAACCAAGTGTTCTTAGCGCTGATTACTTAAAGAGATCAAGGGTAAATAAATAAATAAATAAATAAATAAAGGCATCCACTGCAGCACAAGGTGTAGGAATATGTGTTTAAAGAAAAGTGCAATCCCTAGTAGTATTTGAAATGTAGTTTATTGTTTTATATACTGAACATTAATGACATTTGTTAGTGTTGCTTGGAAACAGAAGGTGTCTGTATAAGTAGAGTTCTAGATAATTATGAGTATGCTAGTCCAGATAGCTTTTTTTTGGCTTGTTTTAATCTTCCCTGATTACACAACTACTAAAACAGGCTAGGAAAGGTTTGTTTAGTTCATTGTTCAAAACTTGTCTTGTGGTTTACAATCCAGAATTGCAAACCAGGATTTGTTATTAGTTGACCATTCTTGACTTGTTTGGACTTACAAACTAGCAATACTGAACAATCTGTTTCCTAATTTATTTAGTGTTCATACTAGAAAAAGCAAGACTGCCACATAAACCAGAGCTGACTAAAATGTGTCAATTGAGAAGAAAGTTACCAGAACGAATACACACAATGATATACTAACCATAACCTTCATGGACAAAAGTGTCCCTAACCAGTGCTTCCACTTCCAGTTCTTGAAGGGATCAGTTAGACTCAAACAATTTTATGGAGGTCTTAATAAAATCTATAAAAAAATGAACAAACATCTCCAAAAAAACCATTGTCGTCATACTTGGTACTATTCTAATTGTATTTCTTTACTTATTCCAGTTTACTTTAAATACAATTCACCTATGTTAATGATAAAATTTCTTCCTAAAACAAAAATAGTTCCTATCACTTAGTTTCTGTAATTTCATTCCTGTTAGGTTGAATGAGAATAAGTAATACATAGAATGTGACACATTAAAAACAGTTTATGGGATACCCATTTGCAATGGAAGCCACAGCGTTACTGTATCTTTGCTTTCCAGATCTGTATGCTACCTCCAAGTGCCATCAGTATAATATGTTGTAATTTGCTTCAGAAATGTAGAACAGTAAGTGTGGAACTTTCTTTGAAACTGTCCAAGTTGTATCTGCTGCTTGAAGGTAGTGAACTAAAGTCACTTTAGTTCCTGGTACATATTGAAGAGACAGGTCACATCATTTAGCCATCTCATTTTTTTTTCCATTTTAGCTTACATAGGTTTTTTGAAAGTGTCATAAATGTAATCAAATCAATTTTTATTGTATTTTAAGAAAACATGTGTCTGATTCTTCTTCATATTTACCTACTGGCATTTAGATCTTGAATATCGAATGAATGCACGGCAACAGCTTTTCACTACAGCCAAGCGTTGGGATTCCACTTCTAAGACTATTGTAGAATTTGAGCCAAATGAGACTACTGAATTGGATAAGAGCCTTCTGATCAGATACCAAATTCCTCTGTCTGCTGACCAGCTATTTACACAGTCTGTCTTGGATAAGTCATTGACCAAGAGTAACTATCAGTCAAGACTACATGATCTCCTTTATATTGAAGAAATCGCACAGTATAAAGAAGTCAGCAAGTAAGTATTATTTCTGTTGAAGATTTCCTTCACATACTAATCCTGCTGTGGGATTTGAAATTACTTACTTAGGCGATCCCTCGTAGTCCGAGGATGATGGTCCTCCAAGTGTAGTATCCTGGCGGTGGATCCGTAGGCGACTGTGGAGCCCTATTCTTGATACAAGAATACTGTTGTCTTAAATTAATTATTCGGGTGTAGTTTATTTATTTATTTAATACTTATCTAGCAGTCTGTGTTCAATTTTAGTTTTAGGACTGCACTGGATTGGATCCAAAAATGTTTGAATGAAAAGACCATTTGTGCAATATACTTAACCATTTCTCCTTTGCAGTGTGGCAAACTGTTTTTATAACTCTGGGTAGACTATACAAGTCAGTGCACTGTGAAGGGTAAAAATTAGGCAAAGACATTTTGTACAAGCAACACTTTATCTGTCTACTTCTTTCTCCTACTATAACCATCCCTCCATTCACCCTGGTCACCAACAACATAGATTTTTCCAGAAGATCTCCCAGAGACTCTTTTAGAGACATCATTGCCTAAATGATTGTTTGCTTCCACACTATGGCTCTAGCCCCCCATTCCTTTTGCCTAGATATATATTGCTTTGCTTTGTTTTCTCCTAATGAAATACAACATTAGATTAAAGGAAATCTAGAAACTGTATTGTTGAAGGCTTTCATGGCTGGAATCACTAAGTTCTTGTGGGTTTTTTCGGGCTATATGGCCATGTTCTAGAGGCATTTCTCCTGACGTTTCGCCTGCATCTATGGCAAGCATCCTCAGAGGTGATCCCTCACCTCTGAGGATGCTTGCCATAGATGCAGGCGAAATGTCAGGAGAAATGCCTCTAGAACATGGCCATATAACCCGAAAAAACCCACAAGAACTTAATCTAGAAACCATTCTAATCTTCTAAAATCAAGCCCAGGCAGTAACAGGTTTTTAAAAATGTCTGTAGCTCTTGGAGTCAGTAGTTTTTGTAAGTGATTTTATATACTGATCATAAATGACATTAATAGTTTTTCTCTTTTACGTGTCTTATCATCAAAAGTAGTACTGATGATCAACATGATAATTTATTGGCTGGTGTTGGTTTAAAGTGAGTTTACAGCAAAGAAGCAGTTTAGCTAACAGGAACAGATATAGTGCAGGTCCCTGGCCCATTGCAGGGAGAAAACCTGCTGTACCCCCACATTAGCTAAATTGAGATGCAGTGATCTACAGCAACCTCCACCTCAGTTCATTGTTTCATAACCATTGGATTCTTGATACTTTAAGCAAGAGAAAAGTTTTCCAAGCCTTATTGTTAAGCATCTGCTTGGTAGCAAATCGTAAATTTATCTAACTCAACATGATGCCCACTTGACTACAAAGATAAATGGGTTCACTGCTGCTGCTTTTAGTTAATATTTACATTTGCAGCTATTTCTGCTTGGTTTTTATATTCGAAAGCATTTTTTACTGTTGTAACTTTCAAAATCTTGGCTTTATTGTGTTCCCCCTGTACATATTTATGTGTTATATTTGATATTTTATAAGGTTTTGTAAATATTTTTGATAATGTTTGTTGTCAAGCTGTTTAAAAGTACAGTAAGCAAACTTATACTATACTGTTACTATAGGCAATCCCTTGTGGACGAATATGATTGTCTTCCAAGGGTAAAGTCTTGGCAGTGGGTGCATAAGTGATTGTACAGACCTATTGTAGATCCACATGGTCTGTCACTATGAAGACATATGTTTCCTGACTTCCTTCCAGGTAAGGAAGTCAGGACAAGGGTTTGCTTGCCGTGCCTTCCTTTTGGCACATTTCTCCCCTCCAGTTAGAATAGTCAAGTGCCAGGAATTTCCCCTTTTCACTGTTTGTCACATTTTTAGGGTTAGCTTTAAGCCTATCTTTAAATCTCTTTTGTTGTCCATCGACATTCCATGTCATTGTGAAGCAGCAGCAGAATGTTCACAAGTTTATCAGGGCATTTTTTTTAAGGATGCTCTAGAAACCATTACTATTCATAGTGCTAAAGGCCTTTGTAACACCGATGAATGCCATGTAGAAATATTGATTTTGTTCCCTGCATTTTTCTTGAAACTGTTGTGCAGTGAAAACCATGTCCACTTTTCCCCTGGGATTCCAAGAGGATGTCTTCTGAGTTAGGTAGAAGGTAGTTTGCAAATATTCCTGTGATGATTTTTCCAGCTGTGGTTAAAGAGTACCTTGATAGTTTCCACAGTTTGTTCTTCCTTTTTGAAAAGCTTCATGATAATGATGTGCTTGAACTCCACTGAGCTTGTTAAGTTGTTGTGTCAGCTCGGGCCTGTCTTCTTTAAAGATTTTATCAGGTCTGATGGCTTTGTAATTTTTTAGTTAGTTGATGGCTTTACTGACTTTCTCCAAGTAGTCAGTGCTGCAAGCTCATCCCTGGTTTGTTGTTGCGGAATTTGCGAGAAAACCTCTTCAGCCACATTAGAACTGTGGTTAAGGAGGTTATGATAATGCTGTTTCCAATATAGTACAATATTTTTTTGCCCTTTGTAAGTTTAGCTCCTTGGTTTACTGAGGAGTTGGCAGTGATGAAGCGAAGGAAGAGGGAACTAGAGAGCGTGTGGCGTTCGGATCCGAGCGAGTCAAATCGAACACGGTTTGTGTCCTTTCTAAGGGCATATGCCGCGGCAATAAAAGCCGCAAAGAAAACTTTCTTTGCGGCTACTATTGCGTCTGCAAGGAACCGTCCGGCGGAGTTGTTCCGGATTGTCAGAGGTCTTTTAACTCCCGCCACCTCAGGCGGGAGCCCTGACAATTCGGCCACGCGCTGCGAAGCATTTGCTCGGTTCTTTGCAGACAAAGTCGCTTTGATCCGTTCCGGTCTGGACACCATATTAAATGCAGTCTCTGAGGATGTGACACGAGCACCTGCTTGTCCTATTTTGATGGATTCTTTTCAATTGGTGAAGCCCGAGGATGTGGACAAGATACTTGGAGGAATGAGGCCTACTACGTCCATCCTAGACCCCTGCCCATCCTGGCTTCTGAAGGAGGCCAGAGGGGGATTGGCTGAGTGGGTAACGGTGGTGGTTAACGCCTCCCTTCGGGAAGGCAAGATTCCAGCGAGCTTAAAACAAGCTATTATAAAACCGCTATTGAAAAAACCATCACTGGACCCCACTAATTTGACAACTTTCGGCCTGTTTCCAATCTCCCCTTTTTGGGCAAAGTCATGGAAAGCGTGGTGGCCTCACAACTCCAGGTATTCTTGAGAGACACGGATTATCTGGATTCGGCACAGTCTGGTTTCAGACCGGGACATGGAACTGAGACGGTGTTGGTCGCCTTAGTGGATGATCTGCGCCGGGAGCTAGACAGGGGGAGTGTGTCCCTGTTGGTGCTCCTGGACCTCTCAGCGGCCTTCGATACCGTCGACCACGGTATCCTTCTGGGGCGCCTTGCGGAAATGGGCCTCGGGGGCACTGTTCTGCAGTGGCTCCGGTCATTTCTGGAGGGCCGCACCCAGAAGGTGTTATTGGGGGACACCTGTTCAACACCACAGCCTTTGACTTGTGGGTTCCACAGGGCTCTATACTGTCCCCCATGCTGTTTAATATCTACATGAAGCCGCTGGGTGAGATCATCCGGAGTTTCGGGGTGCGGTGTCATCTGTACGCAGATGATGTCCAACTCTGTCACTCCTTCCCACCTGCTACTAAGGAGGCTGTCGAGGTCCTGAACCGGTGCCTGGCCGCTGTAACGGTCTGGATGAGGGCGAACAAATTGAAATTGAATCCAGACAAGACAGAGGTACTCCTGGTCAGTCGCAAGGCCGAACAGGGTATAGGGTTACAGCCTGTGCTGGATGGGGTCGCACTCCCCTTGAAGGCAGGTTCGCAGCTTGGGTGTGATCCTGGATTCATCGCTGAGCCTGGAACCCCAGGTTTCAGCGGTGACCAGGGGAGCATTTGCACAGTTAAAGCTCGTGCGCCAGCTGCGCCCGTACCTTGGGAAGTCTGACTTGGCCACGGTAGTACACGCTCTGGTCACATCCCGCCTTGACTACTGCAACGCTCTCTACATGGGGCTGCCCTTGAAGACGGCCCGGAAGCTTCAGCTAGTCCAGCGCGCGGCAGCCATGTTACTAACAGGAGCGGGACGCAGGGAGCACACAACGCCCTTGTTGTTCCAGCTCCACTGGCTGCCGATCTGCTACCGGGCCCAATTCAAGGTGCTGGTGTTGACCTACAAAGCCCTAAACGGTTCCGGCCCAAAATACCTGTCTGACCACATCTCGGCCTATGAGCCCACGAGGACTTGAGATCGTCTGGGGAGGCCCTTCTCTCGATCCCGCCTGCCTCACAGGCACGCCTGGCGGGGACGAGAGAGAAGGCCTTCTCGGTGGTGGCCCCCCGGCTGTGGAACACCCTCCCTGTAGACATCAGACAGGCGCCCTCCCTTATGACATTCCGCAAGAGACTAAAGACGTGGTTGTTTGAGAAGGCGTTTGAGTAAGTGCTGCAACAATTGGCAATGACGATTGGAACGGAACATGGATAACGAGATTTGGATTGTGATTCAACGATGAGACGTCGCGAATGATTTAGTGTAATTGTATTATTGATAGTGATGTTGTTTAATGTTGTTGTGATATTGCTTATGTTGTAAATTGTGCCTGGTTTTACATGTTGTACACCGCCGTGAGTCGCCCTAGGGCTGAGAACGGCGGTCTACAAGTGCAGTAAATAAATAAATAAATAAATAAATAGTTCCATCTGATGAACTTAGAGGCTATATGCCATGATTTGTTGGTCTTTATGCCTTTTTAGTCCAGCAGATTTTTTTTTTTAATTTTCTGGTATTTTGTGGACCTCAGCTTTTGCACTAGCATTTTTTTCCTTAGCAGCACAGTTGATATTTCTTTGCTGTGCTTGGAAGCTTTTCATTTTCTAATCGATTATCTGTTGAATCTCGTTATAATTCTCGTCAAACTAGTCTTGATGTTTTTTAGTTTATTGTCAAATTGCTTGTTCATAGGCTGTAATGATAGAAGTCTTCAGTTTATCCAATGTTCCTCAACATTTTCAGGGTGTTCTGTGAATAGATTTAGAGGGTTCTTGAAGAACTTGGGTGTTCATTTGGGAGCAGTCTTGATAGCCCTTGTGGATTGAATTTTCAGTGGTCTGTCTAGCAGTCATCAGCATTTGTTCTGGTTCTTGTGAGAAGTGCATTGCAGCAGTCTCTGGTACGTATAATTATATAGTCTAAGAGGTGCCAATGCTTTTATTAGAGGTGCTTCTATGATGTCTTCAAACTTATATTTTGGTGGAAATGTGTGTTGGTGCTGACAAGGCTGGGTTCCAACATTTAGTAGCATGCCGTTTGTGTTGCTGTTTCCAACCCCATCTTTCTTTATAGTCATTGGCCACAAGTTGAAATCTTGCCCAACTCTTGCATTAAAATTATCCTAGAGAATAATCGTTCCACAGTTCATTTGTCCTTTTTGACTGCAAGGTGGTGACCCCTCTGGATGCAGTAGTCCAGTCAAGGATGGATAAAAGAGGCAAACTATGTTTAGGTCACCTTTTCTAGCCCACTCCCTGTGTGGAGTGAAAATAGGGCTGCTCAGTCTTGGATACAGCTGTCGAACTGCTCAGTTTACCTTGGACCATGAGTTCGAACAACTGAATCCATATCTACCACCATGTACTGGTCCATGGTTAGTGTCTTCCGGATGGCCCTGTTGCTACAAGCTGATTGCCACGGGACTTTTGATGGTTTTGGTTTGTCTTAGAAGGCACTGGTGCACACATTTGTTTTATGTGTGGAGATAGGTGCACAGCGACCAATACACAGAAAGAGGTTCTGATCCAATGGCATGGTTAACACAACAATTGTTGGCCCTTCATCTGTTTTGCAGCCTACATCCACTGTCACAGCCATTGTAACACGTACCATGTTTTCATTTGCCTGACATTGAGGTCTTCAGGTTGTGTTTGGTCTCGTTCCTCTCCTGTGATCTTGCTGGGATGAGTGGCCCTACTGGGAGTACCTGACTCCTGATGGCTTTGCTCACAGGTTCACTGGAATGCACAAGCCCTCTCACCATGACAAGATGATGATCTAGCAAAGAGAAGTAAATCTGTAAATTGCATAGTTACAGCAATCCCTCTGAAACTATACAGAAATGTGCAATCTTTTAAATGCACTTCTCTACTTCACTCTGTACATAGTTCTAAGGAGCGTTTGGGACACGAGAAGGTGCCATTGAGTAAAGTACTACATGCAGGAAAACCGTTTGTTGTAAAACTTATTGAATATGTGACTGACTTGTAATTGAGTCAGGCCTTTTAGATTTGCCAAATAGCCACCCCCACCCTGGTATTTCAGTAGAATATAGCACAAGAACAGGGATAAAAATATTCACCCTTTAAATTGTGACAATGCGCACATTAAAGAAGGAGATCTATAGCAGGCAGGAACCTTTGCACAATCCCTTCCTTTCTCCTTGCAAAATACTTTTAAGGTGGATGGCAGGAGGGATCATACTGAATAACAGACTTGAAAGTGTCAGCGTGACAAGAGTTAAGTGTTCTGTAAAGCAATGAAATAATTTCATGTTTCTTAGCAAAGTAAACATTAGAAGATTTGTGATTATTTGTTGGGAAGAGACTTTTGATTAGAACATTACATAACTTCAGAGTCTCTGAGATCGTTTTTGTCATATAAAACGGCTGATTTCCACAAGCGGTGAACGCAGTGGATAGGGCTCATCTGTTTATGAATTAACTTCTGGGTTAAAGCTTTTTTTCCCAATTTTTAATGATCATAGGATGATTAGCAGTGACCATCTTTTCACCAGATGTTCAGAAAGACACTAGTTATCACTTTTACTTATTAAGTTCATAATAATCAAGATCTGGGGGAAATGAAACTTTTTGTATTTTAAAAAGCTTTTCAGAGATGGTTTACAAGCATTTTTAATCGTGTGTATTCTACTGCTGCTTGTCTTTTGACCTTAAATTGATTTATTTTAAATGGTTTCAATTCACAGGACAGTTTAATTGCATTTTTACAAAACCTTTTTGAGTGTTTTAGCTCACATTTGTACTTTTATTATTATGTTTTTCTCTGGATTGTTATATTTTACTATGCTGTATTTTAATTGTGTTTTTGTTTCAATGGATTGTTTTGTTTTTATGTCTTGTGGGTATTTTGACCCATATGTAAGCTGCCCCAAGTTCCTTTGGGGAAATGTGGCCGAGTATAAGAATGTAGTAGTAGTAGTAGTAGTAGTAGTTGTTATTATTATTTAAACAACTGCAACTCATTTAAGAAATTGGTAACTTAATCCACTGCTTCTTAAACTGTGACTCTCGACCCCAAAATGGGATCCTTTTTAGCTCAATGTTGGAGTCTAAAATAACTTAGGAACCATGATGTATTTAGTGACTATTCATCTTCCATATCCTCTCTGACTTTTGTTTTCAGTTTTTGTTTTAATGTTTTTGCTTAATACCAAAGTGAGGGTTTTTCTTTAACAGAATTAACTGTATGCTTTCTGATTTAGGTTCAACATAAAAGTGCAATTGCAGATTGTAGCAAACTTCATGCTCACCGGTGTTTCTGGAGGTGCAAAGTATGCCCAAAATGGACAACTATTTGGACGGTTTAAGCTCACAGAAACACTTTCTGAAGACACTTTGGCAGGGCGACTGGTGATGACCAAAGTCAATGCTGTTTATTTATTACCGGTAACTAAAGAGAAGTCAGTACTGACCCAAGGAACCAAAGAGAAGGTGTATGAAGCAGCTATTGAAGAAAAAACAAAAGATTATATCTTTTTGAGAGTATCCAGGGAATGCTGTGAAGAACTTAATCTTCGAGCAGATTGTGAAATGCAGGTATGCTTGAAAAGAAATGTCCTACGTACCTCCTTCCATTACATTTGGCTCTCTTTATTGTTATCTCATCATACGACAGTCATAGCGTATGACTAAATGATGACAGGAAATATGGCACAAAATACTTTTTAAAAATAGAAGACCTAAAGAGCAGTTAAATGGTTTGCACCATGTTGCACAGCGTAATGAATTTGTGATGGAGCAAAGAAGTTATATTTCTCTATTTAGACTCCATATGTTGATGGAAGCACATTGTCAGCTCTTTCTGCTGATACAGTGGAGTATTGCAAAATGAGATCCAGGATCCATTTCCATCAGTTCTATTTTGTACAGTACAGTGGGAGCAGCCTGGAAAGCAACTTCTTGCACTTCTGCAGTTGCTGTGGCCAGGGACAAAGAGCAAGGCAAAGCTGTCTGCATGGCATTGGTGAAATCTGACAACATTGTCATGGGGCTTTAGGTGAAAATGCTAGGTTGTTCGAACAACTGGATGGCTCTAATAAGGTTACCAGGATCAGATGTTGTAGTAGCTATGGTAGTGGAAATAGTTGCAAGCACAGCTTTTCCTTTTGCATATAAGTTTAACAAATTTGCCTGTAAGTACAATATAGATCTTGTGTATGTGTAAATAAAATGAAGAAGAGTTCTTAAAGTTTTTTTTGTAACATCGATGATAATCTTGTTTAGTATTTTCTGCTTTTGTACATAACAAAATGTAATGTTTTAAACCTTTTTCTATACCAATATATACATAGTTTAAAAAAATAATAATAAAAGAATACTGCATCTTACAGAGTTTTGTTTCTAAATGAAAACCTGTCTGATATTGATATATGTGTGCCTCTGCTTCCTCAGGCCTTTGAGCATCAGTACCTGCCAGCAAAACCCCTTTTTCCCCATTTTTAATAATCATAGGGAAATTGTAATGGACTGTGGAGCCACTAGCTTTGTTTCTGTAAATCTGTAAGAAGCATGCATTCTGGGCTCTTGTTAAAGCCAAATTCTTTCTGTTTCCCTCTTTCCTTTTTATTTCCCAAATCACTAAATATGCTGTCTGTTCCTGTGGCTGTGACCTATCCTCACCAACTCTTTTTGACCCCCACAAATCTGGCTTCAGTCATCTCCACTGATTGAAACTGCTCTAACCTATGTGTCTAACAACCTCTTCTATGCTAAGGGTGAGTTCACTGGAGAGCGATTATCACACCATAACTAAAGGGAACATTCTATATTATCGCCCATATTATTGCACTAATCTTCTACCACCAATTGAAAAGGTGGATATTATTGTGCAACAATGGGATGGTAATGTTATAGTGTTACACATTTTTTTAAAAAAAAATAGGGAGCATAGTGAGAGATACTCCTGTAGTAACTTACAGTATCATGGCTCCAGGATTGTTAATCCACACTGGAGTGTTATGGACACTCATTTGTCCTGTGGTTATCCTATGCTTACAATTTTATTTCTTTCTTTTTTGCACACATTTTGATGCCATCCATCATCAAATGTTTCCTCACTGGTTCAAAAATAAAAATTGTAACTATGAAATAGAAAAAAAATATAAAAGAAATAAAATCTAGAACATTTAAAACAGAACTAGACTATAACCAGAAACAGACAACCATAGTTCAAAAAACTTGAAAAGCATTCAACAAAAAACTTTGTGAAAATACAGAGTTCTTCATCTGGCACTAGAAAGACCACAGGAAAGTGCTGAGTGAGTTGCTGTAGTCTAAGGGGATAATTCTATGAGCAGCCTGTCAAATCCGAAAAGGGATTTTTAGGTGGCCAGCCACCTCATTTCATTGGAGAGGGACATCTGAAAGTCTCAAAAGAGGAAGATATGATCTGTCATCTATATACAGAAGGTGGTGATCCTTGTATTAGTTTGGCTCAAAGGATTCAGGACTTCCTAGGATAATATTTGGCCCTGAAAATGAATGAAATTCCAGTAAAACAATACTTTTTAAAATTAATTATCTTCAAAATGAAAAAAAAAATAAAGAAGAAAAGAAAAATATCACAAATATTGTGCTAGTTATGTAATTATTTTTTTTTAGATTATTTGAACAACTTGGGGGCTGTGGTTCAGAATACCTTGTTGGCTTCGATAATTTCCCATTCAGTACCATTGATAATATCTTTTAGAAAAGCAAAATGAAATAGTTTTTCATGATGTTAAATCTTTTTTTCCTGGGATTTTTTTTTTGTAGACACCTTGGATTCTGTGGAGTAAGGCTCAACTTCTGTTGTTGGGCAGTGTTAGTGGTTGTACTTTTCCCAGATCATACTGTGATACCCAGGAAAAGTAAACAAAATTTCCTTATTTCTTTCTCTAGTTTCTGTTTTCTGCCCACTGGCTGTTTTTCATCCAGCTGGTGCCATCTAACTAGGCATAGAAACACTGCTGTAAAGCCCCAATAATTTTTCAACCTGAGAAAAGAATTTCTGTTGATATACAGAACAGTATTATATATTAATGGATTCACGCGATTAAGGAAAAGTCCTACCTATTCTGTTGAAGTTCTCAACAACGTTGTTGGGTTTTTGTTGTTGTTAACATGACTTTTCCTCCCTGCTCTCCCTCCCTCCCCAAAGAAATATTTTAAAGCAAGGGATAGATCCTGCTCTTTTGAAAGAAACAATTTACTGTCCTTGGTCGAAAATTATTTAGGTGAATTTGACCTGAAGAATTACCCGTCAGTTTATGACCTTACCATTTGTGTCGAGGAGAAAAAGTGATCAAATGCATAGTAGCACAACGAACCAAGAACTTCAGGATGAAACTGTTTATCACCACAGATTCTTAGTGACTTTCAGTGTGTTTAATGTCTCCTTGGATTTTTTTTTGGGTTCAAGAAGTATTATACCAAGATGGTTTTAAATCTTACTCAACAGTATGATAAGTTACATGTTATTCTCTATAGAAACATGAACACAAAATCACCAGTGAGTTGTTTGACTTTGTGTATGTATTCTTTAAAGGAAAGGTAGATCTTTGATGCATGGCTGGAAATGTCAATTAATTCAAATTGAAGTTTTCAATTTAAATTTGGTGTGTATGAACATTAACTGAGTTGTTTCACTACTCCTAAATACTCCTGCCAGCCTTTTTCTAAGTAGACTGAATCTACCGATTTTGACCTTGTAAAATCCCGAATTGACCTTGGCCCTGGTTAGTTGAGGGATATATGTTTTCTAACCTTTATATTATGATAAGGAGAAGTCTTATCATTTCATCATCAATGAGGATATGACCCTTTCAGTTATAGTATCTCTCTTTGGAATTTCTTCTTTTTCTATCTTTACTGCTATTTCCGTTCTCACTCTTACATTCTGCTTTTAGAAATTAATGGAGATCTTATACCAGCAGGCCTTTTGGAGGATGAACAGATGCTATTTTAAATTGAACTTTTAATCTTTCTGTTCTGTGCTTTTATTGTTTTATAGGTACAGTGACTATACTTTTAACAGCCAGCTGTTACAGAATTGTTGTAAAGATTTTGTAAGCCTTTCTAAAGTTCTTTTGAAGGAATGTGTTAGGAAGTAAATGCAATGAATTACATTGCTAAATTTTAATCTTTCAATTGAGATATGATTTCATGATATGTTTCAGTAAATGCCATATGTTGAGTTCCTTAAAAATATTGTCTCTAGGTGACCAAATTAGGACAATCCATCTATTTTAATAAAACATTATTTATGTTAGCTATAGTGTGCATAGATGGAAAAGTGATTTGTAAGAAACAAATTCTGTGTGAATACACTTTGTCTGATTGCTAGATGTCATAATATATAAAGCAGAGCAGACCTGGAAAAAATAGCAATAGGGTCCGGTTTTTGTACAACTTGTCAGTTTGACCCTGGCAGAAGAGTTGTGTGTATTTGCTAAAACAACAACAAAGATGACTAATTCACTGTGTCAGGAAGTGTCAGTGGACTACAGCATGAAATGAGCTCATTTATATTATTATTTGAGGGTTTTTTTTCTTATTGTAAATAGTTACTGTGAAATTCAACTTCTTGATTGTGTTCCTGTGTTTTGTTAATAGAAACCAGACAGATGTAATGAGCACTATGTTTCAAAGCATAGAAAAATGTAGTCCTCCATATTTTAAATAATAAAAACACTTGGTTAATCAATCTATTTTATTGATTAATCCACTGACCATACCATTAATAAAAGAAAAAAATAATACACAAATAGACACTAATCACTATGCTGAAACGCCTGTAATAGTGAACTAAAATACATTAAAACACAATAAAACTTGATTAAATAATACGTTTGGCAAAATGTGATTAAATTACAAGGAACCAGGGGTAGTAGAGTTATGAGTATAAAAGAGTCAGTCAGAGATTTTAAGTAAGTTCATCACCATGACAAGAGACCCTATTGTGAGCTAAAGAAATCTGAGGTGGGCGGCTTTTATAATGAATTTAGCTATGCAATGTACTAAGTGTAGATTCTCCCCTGAAAATTAAAGTGTATTATTCTTCCCAGAAAGATAATAAGACAGTTTGACAGTTAGGTCCCAGTTGGTTGTTTTGACCAAAAGCGATTGTAAATATTGAGCTCTCACCTTGGCATATGTACAATTATCAAACAAAATATGCACAATGTCCTCTGTGGCTGGTTTCTTTATTAAATTCTTTGCTGTCCCTGCATGTAGTAGCCAAATTTCTAAATTGCCTAGCCCATAACTATAGTTATCCCTGTAGATCACTGGATCTTGACAGCATGATAGCTTTTGGATATATTTGTGAGACATTATTGCTGGTAAGTGAATTACATATGTACCTTCTTCTAGTTCGGGTTAGTTGATCAACAAATTTGGGCTACCAGATTCCTTCCACTTAAAAGTCTCTCCAGCATATTTTTCTAGAACACACTGAGGATCTCCTCCCACAGATGCCCACGCCTTTCTAGCTTTCTATCTGTTTAAGGGTTTGGGATAAGTTAGGCCAGGTGCACTTTTGCAGTAAGAAAAAATGAAAAGTAACACTAATAGAATTAGAAATGTAAGGGACAGTTTGAGGTGTGTGCTCCTTTCTGTTAATAAATAGTTTCTGTTTGGAGGTGTTTTTATGTAAGGAGTTAACCTACTTTCTTTTTCATATTTGGCAGTATATTTTAAAGGGATTGTGTTGCCCCAAACTAAGACATCTTTCTGTGGTACCTTATTACACTTATTATATTTCTGTGGGATTGCATTGGAAAGGACATTCATTTTTAAAATACTGCATTCAAAAGAACTATGACCTTGATCTATATTATTTTTTTCTTTTCAAGATTTCATAGCCGACTTCAGTGTTGCCTATTTTAAAATCGTTGTTTTAATGCTGTTATCAAATATTTCGATAGTAATGAGGACTGAAAATAACATTGATTTTTGTGATGAGTTCATCTAATAGAGGCTTCTGCTTCTTGTTATCCTAAAATTACTTTGGCTTGATTTAACAATGACCTATGACACATTCTTTTATTGGCACTTTGGCAATTGTGGATAAACACTTTATGTTGTCGAAGGCTTTCCTTTCCAGAATCACTGGGTTACTGTGAGTTTTTCTGGCTGTATGGAAAAATGGAACAAGGCAACACAGCAACCCAAACACTTTATGGTTAAACAAAAGATTGTTATAAGTTAATTAGATCACAGATAAATAATACAGACATGTGGGATTTTTTCCCGTAATGTACCAGGAAAAAAACCCTTTAAACATCTCCTTGTACTCTAATCTAATGAATTATCACTTAAGGGTAACACTCCGTGCATCAGCAAAATACCCAAAATATTGGTTGTAATTCTTTGCTTAATTGTGTAAAATTAAAATGTGGCTGTAGTAATAACTACTAAGTCTAGAGAAATAATTACTAAGTCTATTCACAATATTTCTAAAACTGACTATCAGTGTTTACACTTTTCTGTTTCAGAGGGAACTTTTCATTCAGTACTTGATTGCGAAAATTTGTCTTTTTACATAATAATGTAAAATTAATGCTATGTTCATTTCAAACTTTTATGAACAATCACCATGTTTTTACTGAATTTCTCAAAGAAATTGTGTTTCTTCAGTTTGTTAGCAATATAGTGGTTTGAATTAATCTCCAAATTCATTTTAAATTTTGTTTTTAAAATGTTAGTATTTCTGTAAGTTGTAACATTTCTGGAAATGTGTTTTTTCTCTTGGATACTTATTTGTTATAATTAAGTCATAACCACTTCTTTATATTTACAGTGACATTAACTATTTATATAAACTGTAATCTATGCCAGAAAGACCGTCTAGGTCAGGGGTTCTCAAACTTTTTAAACAGAGGGCCAGTTCACAGTCCCTCAAACTGTTGGAGGGCTGGATTATAATTTAAAAAAACATGAACAAATTCCTATGCACACTGCACATATCTTATTTGTAGTTCAAAAACACTTTAAAACAATACAATAATTAAAATGAAGAACAATTTTAATAAATATAAACTTAAAAGTATTTCAATGGGAAATGTGGGCCTGCTTTTGGCTGATGAGATAGAATTGTTGTTGTCATCGTTGTGTGCTTTCAAGTCATTTCAGACTTAGGTTGACCCTGAGCGAGGGCCGGGTAAATGACCTTGGAGGGCCATATCCGGCCCCCGGGCCATAGTTTGAGGACCCCTGGTCTAGGTTATAAGTAATTTTTTTATTTTTAATTTCTATTTCCAGCTTTCATTATTCTAATCTCATTAAATATTTCCCGTATGTCCAAATTCCTACATGGATGCAAAAAAATTTTTTTTATTGTATTTATTACTCTTCAAAAATACTTTCCCATTTAGTTGTGACTTTGCAAAAGTCACTTTGGAGCCCCTGGTGGCATAGTGAGTTAAAGTGTTGAGCTCATGAACTTGCTGACCCAAATGTCGCAGGTTCGAATCTGGGGATTAGCACCAGGTTCTGCAGTTCGAAAACATGCAAATGGTAGTAGATCAATAGGTGGGAAGGTAACGCTGCTCCATGCAGTCATGCTGGCCACATGACCTAGGAGGTGTCTAAAGACAATACTGGCTCTTCGGCTTAGAAATGGAGATGAGCACCAACCCCCAGAGCTGGATACGACTGGACATAATGTCAGGGGAAGACCTTTACCTTTACCTTGTAAAAAATTAATTGTTTTGCAGAGGTACACTGAATCATGTTGTTGATAAATTTTATTGCATTGAATCATTTTTAAAGAATGTTTTGAGTTTGTCAGTAATCGGGTTTTGACTCTGTAAGTGTTCTGAATGTGTTTTTTCCCTGAGAAGGGTGTTTTCTGTATGATAATATACATTGCTGAGTTATAAAAGAGCTAAATAGATTCTATTAGTTAAAGAAAGCCACACAATAATGTTCTCATAACTGAAAATTTTATATAAAAAAAATAAGGATCCCACCCCCAATTTTGCCCATAATGTTCATGAATATATTGGCATAGGTAATTGCAGTAGTTTTATTGAACCAAGTTCTCACCATTACACTTTGCAATTGCCTGTTTTCTGGCACAGCTCTCATTCATTCTTTTTTTTAAATTTTTATGCACTGTAGGTTGAACTTCAGTTTCAGTTAAACCGCTTACCCCTCTGTGAAATGCATTATGCTTTGGATAGGATCAAGGACAACAGTATTCTCTTTCCAGATATCAGCATGACTCCCACAATACCTTGGAGCCCCAACAGGTACAAACATGAGAATGCTTTAATACTGGAAGGTGGTAAATCGATATTATTCTGCATTCATAGTAGCAGATGGCTCATGCATGCTTCTGTGGTATATGACACTCTTCTACTGTAACAAAAAAGACTGTCAACATTAAGTCTGAGTTAGCCTATGAACCTTAGACTCATGAAATCTTTTTCTTCTATTCTTATGAAATGGAAGTTGCAATTAATTACAACCTTTATGAGTGAAGCTGCTTTAGAAAATGTATTCGCCTCTCCATATCACATTGCAAATAATGTCTACATATATAATTACCTTTGCTTGTTTGTCTTATCTCAAGGGCGTATTGTTGTTATGACAGTCTATTCAAACAGACTGGCATCTCAATCTGTATAAACTGGAAGAATAATGACAGACTGAATTGGTGGAGATAGGTGCATCTTATGGCTAATCATCTAACTGATCTAGTCATGCATTCTCCAATTTAGGATGTAGTGAGCCTCACAGAATTATTTTTAATCAGTGCCACATCATGTTTACTTTGTAAGCTCAGATACTTAATTGGTGGAGGCAGAAAGAAATGTCATTCTCACACATTGGCATGGGACATTCTAGTCCCCCAAAGCCACATTTTGGTCACTTTCCCCCCACGCACTGCTGCAGTACTGTCACCTGAACATTACAAACAGTTTCAGCCACTTACCATGTGGAGTGTTTCTTGACAAGTAGAAAAACAACCACAGCAAAACAAGGATGGCAAAGAACTACAAGCCCTAACAAACAAATCCTGGCAGAACAAAAAGGAACAAGCTGTAAAGTGTCCAATTTAGCTCATTTTAACTTCAATTCAATTGATATAGGACAGCAAATTTAACAACTCCTGAATTTTAACAATTGCTGAAAGCTTTTAGTGTATATATATATTTAATGTGCAAGTATTTTGTCTAGAATAATAAACGTAAGCAATTCTGAGATGTGAGTAATCAGGTGTTAAAGTAAAATAAGAACATCATTCAAAAAACTAACAAAAATGTGAGAGGCAATGGTGTTTTCTCCCAGAACATGACATTTTTCCTAGATAGACATGTAAACAGGCCTCCCTGGGTTCATGCTCATGTCTGCATTGGGCTCTGCCCAAAATAAACTTACATGGGGTAAAACTGTGTAATCCAGAGAAATAAATGGATGGGAAAAATATACTATTGAATTCATTAATTTCCTCCTGTTTTCAGTATGACTTCTAGTACAGAGGTGGGGATCCCCACTCTCGACTGCAGTCCTGCACACTCCTTCAAAATCTGTTCCAGATGTTTGGGGATCATCCAGAAAGGTTTTAATAAAGCATAGGGAGCTGCGGGGAGAAGAGATAGTCTTGTTAACTAGTGGACATTCATTCATAACATGAATGAACATGGCTCTATAGCCCGAAAAAACCCACAAGAACCTAGTGATTCCAGCCATGAAAGCCTTCGACAATACATTCATTCATAATGTAAGATCTGCCACATAAAATTATCATAATGAAAGCCTGTATCGTTTCCCAGGTATTTTTTTTTAATGGGAGACTCTGATTTTAGTGCAATTAGAAAATACTGGAAGAAAAGTCTTGAAAGTTAATTACGAAAAGAACACCTTTTCAGCCTATTACACCTGGATGGAACCAGATCACCTGGCTATTATTGTTGCTTTTCTTGTTGTTAGCAACTTTATTTAATAAGTTGTATACTGGGATGACCCAGTTCCAGAAAATATGTTCATTAAGCAGGATAAATTAGCAAGCACCTAACAGGGTGATTACTTATGAGTAATTTCTATGCTATTTTATGCCGTTTATATGTGCACACATAATAGATAATATAAGGCCTACTAGGGAAAAACTGGTCCTGTAATAAGTAAATTGGTTTGAACAATGCCACAGCCAAAACAATTGTGTTTGCTATGCTTTTGCAGCATTAAATTGCTTAGTTTTTCACACGAGACAAGAGAAGGCACTGCTAGTGGTCCTTATATAAAAAGGATAATCCATATTCCTGTCTTCCAGTAAAGGTCTCGGAGAGGCATAAAAGGGATTCAGGAGAAAATGAGTAGCTTCCAAGGAATATACAGAAAGACCCACACAAAATTATTGCAGACTTCATATTGTAGTGATATGCATGTTAATGGGTGGTAGCTTCTTTACTTTCTTTTTTTAGCGTCATGTCTGAACACTAGCATGTATGGAATTTACTGTATATGTCTCTATATAAGTTGACCTCACATATAAATAAAGAGCACATTTGGGAGCCCAAAGTGTGAATTTTGATATGCCCAATACATAAGTCAGGAGTCATTCTGTGTAGGAAAGTGCCAGTCTTTAAAAAAATATTCATCTTCCTAGTACACATATAAAAGCTAGCTTGCTGTATTTAAATAGTTATCCCATAGACATGTGATTTTGTGATATGAAATCCAGCATATATATCTCATTTGCTGTGTCATACTGTGTTTTTGCCACAGTAAAATAATAATAATAATAATAATAATAATAATAATAATAATAATAATAATGGAATGGGAATGTGTTGGAATAGTTTTGATTCAGATGCATCTCTGCTTGATACAAATTGAGCATGCTTATCTGGAAATCTGGAATCCTCCAAAATTGTTTAGTGAAACCTTTGCTTTCTGATAGATTAGTGGTTCTCAACCTGGGAGTCCCAGGTGTTTTGGCATACAACTCCCAGAAAACCCAGCCAGTTTATCAGCTGTTAGGATTTTTGGGAGTTGAAGGCCAAAACATCTGGGGACCCACAGGTTGAGAACCACTGTGATAGATGGTTCAATGCCCACAAAGTTTGTTTCATAACATAAATTATTAAAACAATAATGTATAAAACTGTGTACAGACTATGTGAGCAATGTATATATGAAACATTTTGTGTTGAGACATAGAACCCATCTCCAAGATATCTTTTTATGTTCACACATTCAAATAAAGTGCACTCTTGATATTTCCTGGGAATTGGTTCCAGAACCACATGTGGATACCAAAATCCAGGAATTCTCAAAATCTAGGAATGTCTCATTATACACAATGGCATAGGGAAAATGGCAAAGTCAAAGTTTTTTTTTAAAAAATGTTCTTCCCATCCTCCAAGACACAGATGGTTGAATCAATGGATACAGAATCCAAAGTACTTATGGTCCCAATATTTCAGACAAGAGATACTCAACCTATATAGGAAGTTGTTTCTTCTTAATGTATGGCATTTTTTATAAAGTGTTCTACTTTCTTTTATGCAGACAGTGGGACGAACAATTGGATCCTAGACTCAATGCCAAGCAAAAAGAGGCTGTTTTGGCAATCACAACTCCACTCACAATACAGTTGCCTCCTGTTCTTATCATCGGTCCCTACGGGACAGGCAAAACCTTCACTTTGGCTCAGGCAGTCAAACACATACTCCAGCAGCACGAGACTAGGTGAGATGGGGTGGTATTTAACTGGAAATAATTGATACTCTATACTTAAGGGGGAAGTAGCAGTACAGAATCTCCATCCAGCTTTAAAAAATTCCATCCTTCATTGTTTTGTGTAGATATTGAGGGAAGATTTCAATAGTCTGAAGGAGTAGTCTCCTCTTGGAAAAATGAATTAAAATTGGAGACTAGTGGAACAACTGTATAATGTTTTATTTAGAAAGTTGTGCCTTATATAAAGTTACAATAATATAGAGTATTTTAAAACCACTCGAAATGTAAAGTGAGTTTTAAAGCTGTGTTGAAATTTCCCACAGAAATTAAAAGTAGTCTTTTACCCATAAAATTGTCAGATTAATTTGACTGGAATTGGGGGGGGGGGGTTCACTATTTTTTTTGTATTTTTACTGCTTTGAATGATTTCTGTTTCTTCATTGCTTTTTTATTTGCACCATTTATTCCAGCAGGATTCTCATTTGCACCCATTCTAATAGTGCTGCTGATCTCTACATAAAGGATTATTTACATCCATATGTAGAAGCAGGCAATCCCGAGGCAAGACCTCTCAGGTATTTTTTAAGGTTTATTATGTATCTCTACAATATCTTAAGAAAAGATGTCTACTCAGAATAGTTTGGAAAAGCCTCAGCATTTTCAAGCTTTTTGGCATTTAAAAACAGTTTGTTTGCATAACTTGGAGACAAAAATGCAAAACAGAACAATTTTAGTGTGTATGTTTTTCATGCATTAAAGATAAAGACATCCTTTTTTAAGCCTTTCTAATGTGGATATATGAGCTTTTCTAACTGAAGAAAGTGAATTATTATCCTCTAAAAAGCTCCAGTTTTTACAAGAAATCTGATAGCAATTGCATTTTGTTTTTGGAAAATACGTTTCTTAAATCAGGGGAAAATGTCAATCTGGGGAAAATGATTGTCAGAGTTGTTATATATTTAGAGAAGAATGCAAATTTATATGAAGCTATTTATGTATTTAAGTGAAGTTGCCTTGGGTATTAGGGGAATTAAGGGGGAAATCACAGAGGAGAGTTTAATTCCTTCCTTTGCAAGCCAGAAATGATTCCATTCCCCTGCTACATATTTATGTATATCTAGAATATGTAAAATTTAATTTCATAATAGGCAAATGTTAAATTTAAGATCAGAGTTCATTTACTTGACAATCCTCCTGTTAAGTTTGATTAAACATGCTATGCCACTGTCCTGATTTTAGGAAAGTATATATTTTTTAAAAGACAGAATTCCATTGGAAGTGGTAGTAGTGTTCATTCTTTTGGTAATGACGGATGCTACATTGCTATTTAACCAGGATAGTATGATATGTGTTGGCATAATCAGAGCTTATGTTCAGGGATGTTATTAAGTAAGATATACATTGCCTTCTTCCACATGCCTCTTCCATGCAACTGCAATATGACAGCACTGGATGTGCGTTGAGAAAGAAACAGCCACCTTACTTCCAGATATCCATCTCCTGTTGTCTAGCTATATTTCCGCTCCACTGTTGGAATATGTCCTATTGCCTGCTAGTTGTGTTGCTTTGGGAGTGAAGCAAACATGTATCATTAGTAAACTGGCAGAATTTTACATTCTCTCAGGGCACTATTGGATCCCTAGCAAAGTATGCCATCTCCTGCTTTAAGAATACCTTAGAATCGGAATCCCTTCCTCATCTGTAGCCTACTGGGAAAACAGAACCATTAAGGGCCTTATGGGGCCTCAGTGGCAACTCTTTCTGAGAAACTGGAATTCTGCTTAGAGTGTTTCTTGCCACATGATCAGATATCATTTTATAGTGGCAGTTGATCTTTAGAGCTTCAAATTTTGTTTTACACTGATGGGGAGTATTTCACATCAATAAATGTCCTTTAAGGGCCCTTCCATGCAGCCATATAATCCAGAATATCAAGGCAGAAAATCCCACAATATCTGCTTTCAATTGAATTATCTGAGTCCACACTGCCAAATATTCCAGTTCAAAGCAGATAATGAGGGATTTTATTCAGCTGTGTGGAAGGGGCAAATCTGTTTATTAATAACAGTGGAAAATGCTCTTCCTATCCTCTAGAGCAGAGGTTCTCAAACTTTTTAAACGGAGGGCTAGGTCATAGTCCCTCAAACTGTAGGAGGGTGGGATTACAATTTGAAAAAAAAAAACCATGAACGGATTCCTATGCCCCCTGAACATATCTTATTTGTAGTGCAAAAAACACTTTAAAACAATACAATAAAATAAAGAACAATTTTAACAAATATAAACTTATTAGTATTTATATGGGAAATGTGGGCCTGCTTTCGGCTGATGAGATAGGATTGTTGTTGTTGTTTTGTGCTCTCAAGTCGTTTCAGACTTAGGTTGATCTTGAACAAGAGCCGGGTACATGACCTTGGAGGGCTGTATCTGGCCCTTGGGCCTTAGTTTGAGAACTCCTGCTCTAGAGTCAAGATGATGTATGCATTTCATTTTTTAATACCATTCCAAGAGTAATGGGTTTTATTTATTGTTGTTGTTGTGTGACTTAAGGTCATTTCCGACTTAATTCTCACCCTAAAATAAACCTATATTGGATTTGTCTTGGCAAATTTTATTCAGAGAAGGTTTGCTGTTGCTCAGTGAAGCTGAGAGAACATGACCTGCCCAAAGTTATCCAGCAGGTTTTTGTGGCCAAGAAAAGATGTCAACCCTGTGCTCCAGGGTTGTAGCTCAATGCTCTGACCATTACACCACAGCAATTTTTTCTGCACATACCCCTCTTCAAGCAAAATTGGGGTCACACATGGCCAATCTAAATACAGCATTCACTGGCTGCCAATGGGGAGCTGTCAACCATTCAAGACAATCTTGACTCTATATAAGGAGGCCACCTTCAGATGCTTCATATTGGTATTATACTCTGACCAGATCTCAGTGTATTCATTTCATAATGCTTTGTCATCTATTAACTGGAATTGGTCTGGGGAGTATGGATATCATGTCAGTCAATGTTATGGCAACCAGCTATTGCAGTTAATAGACAATCTATACATCATTGACATGGTCTTGTCCTCTGTTTTTGAAATAGATAATGTCAGACTGAAATACAAAATTCAAGAAAGAATGCTATTGAATGTAGCTAGATTTGAGATTGTTCTGCATTTGAACTTGGCCTTTTTGTGGTGCATGAATAGGGTATAGAGACTTGTATCTTGAAAAAAAAATTGAATGTGGTCCTGCTGTTGAGATGTAGCATCTCTTTATAAATTTTGTCAAAAGGTACATATTTTCCAATGATCCCTTGAATGCACAAGTGAAGTTTTGAGAGAAAAACTTCTCTGCGTTTTGAACAATTCTGCTTTGATTTGAGAAAATATTAAAAATCATATTACCGTATGTGGATTTTATAGTCCTGTTTGTTTTAATAGTAGCCTCAAAAGAGGATAGTATTGCAGATTTTTAAGTGCACACTACTGGGCCTAGTTTTAAGCCTTGAATTAGATGGAGTATATTTGGAAAATGTGCAGAAGTAAATACATAATCTGTATTAAAAAAATAATTCAACTTTTCTTTCTCCTGTAAATTAAAGAAATAATTTAAAAGATTACTACATGTTTGCTTCAGTCTGTAAAGTATTTCACTTGTTTTAGTAAATCTTCTCATCTGAGAATCTGACTTAACATTGTACAATGGTCTGGAAAATCCAGCTACTTAGGGTGAAAAGCAGTCTTTGCTCTTAGGACTCTGTGTATAGTGCTTTGGATAGCAAGGAGGAAGCTAGATACCAAGAAATTGACCTGGCTGATGTGGCAAGGAAGGTTAATGAACAGAAAGAGAGAAACCTGAAGGAAAGTTAAATACAAAGAGAGAACTGAGAAAAAGGGCAGAGACACAAATCTAGATCAACAAAGGACTCATCAAAAAGAGGACTTGGAAGAAACTCTTAGCATTGAAAGTGAAGAGGAAATGAGTTGAGAGGGAAATGTGGCAGGATAACACAGACAGACATTTGAAAGAAAAAAAGTGACAGTGATCTAACAGTAAATCTGAATAATAGGCTCAAACTGTGTGCTCTTAAAAGGAAGGCAAGAAAGTCTTGAAGAGCAAGAAACTCTGTGATCACTGAAAGTGGGGCCTGAGAACCAAAAGAATCAAACAGTAAGAATGAGGTTGAATACAACCTAAAATGGGAAATACTCAAATAGCTTTTTAGATATGACCTTACGGTTGGACTATAATTGTCACGAAGTCTTGACTGTTTTCAGCATATGTTCTGAGTTATGTTGAGTTCATATAGACAGTTTTCTTCCTTTTTGGATTTCTCGTTAGATGTATATGCATACATATGGGTATGCATGTTTTAAAGGAGTATTTTTAATTAAACACAAATTTAAAGCTACGGGATGGAATCTATTAATTTCTGAACTCTCAAAAGGATAAAGGTAAAGGTTTCCCCTGACATTACGCCTAGTCGCGTCCAACTCTGGGGGGTGGTGCTCATCTTCATCTCTAAGCCGAAGAGCCAGTGTTGTCCGTAGATGCCTCCAAGGTCATGGAAAGCCTCCAAGGTCATATGGCCAGCATGACTGCATGGAGTGCCATTACCTTGTAGAAGCAGTGCCTATTGATCTCACATTTCCAAGGTTGACAAGCTTAATTTAACAGTGGGAGCTCACTCCTCTCCTCAGATTTGAGCCGCCAACCTTATGGTCAGCAAGTTCAGCATCTCAGTGGTTTAACCCACTGTGCCACCGGGGGCCCCCTCAAAAGGATACACTCAGATAATTGTTTGACTACAGTTTTGAGACATAACTATGCTAGACTTGAGGGGGGGAGGAACAAATCATTTAGATCAGACCTGCAAAATTTGGCAGTAGGTAAAGGCCAAAATGAAAATAGGCTAAACTTTTTCAGGCTTTATTCTGAATGGCCAAAGAGGATGTCAGCAGATATAGCACTCCAAAGGAACTGATGTACCAGAATTATTTATAGTACATTGATAGCCTTTTWAGTCTACTGCGCTGGCTCCTGATTAGTCTGAAATGGTGCYGGCMGAGATCCATTTCTTGATAGGTCCAAGGTTSTGAAGTCTTGCCATATTAAAYAGTTATCCTATAGAAGATTTGTGTTCATTTATTGATCCACCCATGAGAGGGGTGAGAGCAAAAAGGAATGCAGTAGGGTAGGAGATATGCTAATGGGCTAAAATGAGTTTTGATGTTCCAGCTCCAWTTAATACAATGGATACCAGCCAAGTAAGCAAAAGATGTTCAGGATATTGATAATTTCAGTTGGAGCCCCAGGAAGGGGGGGGGGGGTCTGATTTGGTGACAGAGATAACATTCCCAAGAATAAACCGGATCATGTCAGGAAAAAACAGGAAAAGACCCAGAGGCTCTTGCATAAGCTGATTATATGTTTCATATGTCTTCTTGGGGTATTGTGAGGGGATTATGTTAACTAAGGTGTCGCCATATCCTGTAGTCTGATGTGCGTAGAGTGTCTGTGCAATGCTCCAGAGAGTTGAATGAAAAAAACCCTAATTCATCCCTATTGGGCTACGGACTATGGGGTTCATCATTTTGAAGTCCAGTTTTCAATAGCAAAATGTTGATACATTCTGGTCTTTATGAAATCATCAGTGTTGTTTTCCCATGGTAAAGCGGCTTGTAGCATTGCATTTACATAATAAAGTATATTTCAGTATTCTTTTTTAACAATTACAAGATAAGAAAATGTTAAAATAAGACAGTCTACTAAGAGTTCTTACTAAGGCTTAACAATGGAAAAGCAAGAATGTATTTCAGTATGGTGAAATAGAAGCATCTTATCTAAGGCTAAATGATGCCCACAGCAATACAATTGCTAAACTCAGTGGTCTCGAGACATCCTTCAGTGCCAGAAGCAGCTTATTGGAGTCGTTTTCAAAGAGAATCTCATCCATCAAAGCTAGTAGAAAAATGGGCCAGTCAGAAAATAGGGCCTAAGACATGTAGGGCATACTGCTGGGTTTTATATATGGATCCTAAACAATAGGATCAACTTCTCTTGCTGGAGACAGCGAGCGCCCTGTCCTCATAGAGCAGATACACAGCTAGTCTATGAATGACAATCAGTTCTTACAATTCATACCTAGATGGTCTTTTGGGATATCTTAGGCCCTGCATCCTTATGACAATTGGAGTGTTTGCACAAATGCATTCTACCAGGTTTTCTGTTCTTCTGGTCTCATTATTACGTCTTTTGAACACATGTTCCCAGTAGCCCATAGTGCTTGTATATGCTTTTTTTGTTCAGAGATACAGTAGAGTCTCGCTTATCCAACCTTCTCTCATCCAGTGTTCTCTATTATCCAACGCAGTCTGCCTCCAGCCCAGATCCACAGCTATTTCAATACATTGCGATGTTTTGATGCTAAATTTGTAAATACAGTAATTACTACATAACGTTACCATATATTGAACAGCTTTTTTTGTCGATTTGTTGTAAAACATGATGTAAAACATGATGCTTAATTTGTAAAATCATAATGTAATTTGACATTTAATAGGCTTTTCCTTAATTCCTCCTTATTATCCAACATTTTTGCTTGTCCAATGTTCCGCTGACCCATTTATGTTGGATAGGCAAGACTCTACTGTAATTCTGTTGATGAAGGAGTGGCTATAAAGACAGGGCATTTGGGGCTCCAACTCCCAGAAGCCCTTCCCAGCTTGTCTAATAGTTAGGAACTCAGGGTGCCACAAATTTGACTCCACTGAAATAAAGTATGGCAGTTCCAGACTGTACATATTTTGTTTTGTTTTTAATTTCACAACTATGAGTTCTAGCCATCACCTCTACTAATAGCATGGTTATAGTTGATCACTGTGACAATATTTTAACATATTACAGAAGTAGGTATCCAAAATACATTGTGAATACTTGGAAGTTTCAGACTAAAATGGTATGGCTTGTTATGGGTGGTGATAACCTATATTAAAACATAATTGAAATGAATGTGGAATGTGCATTAGAGAACACAATCTATAATGCATTAGATGGTATTAGAAAGATAACATAAAAAGTTGAAAGTTAATTACATGTGTGTTTTGTCACAAAGTAAGAGCTTCTCCTCTTTTCCAGGGTGTATTTTCGAAATCGCTGGGTAAAAACTGTCCACCCAGTGGTGCATCAATACTGTTTGATTTCAAGCACACATTCCACCTTTCTAATGCCCCAAAAGGAAGACATTCTTAAGCAGCGAGTTGTAGTGGTTACTTTGAATACTTCGCAATATCTGTGTCAGCTGGATCTTGAGCCAGGTGAGGAAATGTGCATAATAAATGTTTCTCTGTTTCTTTCTTTGATAGTCACACATTTTGAAATCTCATTTTTTTATCCAAAGTGGTTAAGTAGATTTGTTAACTGGTAACACCTCAGTCCACATTTCCAGTTAAGCTGCCACAGTGTTTTGGTTTTTTTTTTTACATGTCAGGAGCGACTTGGGAAACTGCAAGTCGCTTCTGTGTGAGAGAATTAGCCATCTACAAGGATGCATGTTCATCAGCATTGGGGGGGGGGGGGGCTATAGAATAATTGTCAAATGGTAGTGTAATAATTCCAGATCAGTGGTTTTATGAATTCTCTTTCCAAGTCAAATTGAATTAGACCCATGTCCATACAGGAAAATCACATACATTGTATGTCATTGTGTGTGAGAAGTCTGGATTTATTTCACTGTATGAATTTGAAATGGATGGGTGTTTTTGGCCAAGTCTTTCAGGACTTGTTGTATACATGTTGACAGAACACACAGATCTTGCCTTACTTTTTTATCATTTCCAGCAGGGTTTGGAAAATCTGCGTGGAAAAAAATTATCAGGAGCTATATTCTGTTTTAGGGAATATTTTAATATTGAAGCTTTGCTGCTCTCATCTTGGGTGGCAAGAAAAAGCTGTTACTTCTTTCTCTTTATTAACGAAAAATGACTTGCTAATCCATCCATTTTACAGCATACGTTATTGTTGTTAATTCGTTTTCACCTGGATTCACAGAACTGAATCTAGTTGTTTTCGTAGGATTGTCACCACTTCGATCACTTTGTAATTAACATTTTGTCTGATTCTGTTTTATAGGGTTTTTTACACATATACTGTTAGATGAAGCTGCACAGGCAATGGAGTGCGAGACTATCATGCCTCTAGCACTAGCAAATAAATACACAAGAATAGTCTTGGCTGGAGATCATATGCAAGTAAGTCTTGAACTTAGCTTATATAAGATAACCAAAGAAGTGTAATCTATATTTGCAACCTGCAAAGCTCTGCATTACATTCTTAGACATGTAGTATGACATAGTAGGTAAGGAAATGAAACATAAATCTAATTGTTAGTATTTGACAAGCAATTATTTTAATGTTATAGAAAATAATAATAATAATAATAATAATAATAATTACGTTGGTTTATTCCCTGCTTTTTCTCTTCATAAGGAGACTCAAAGTGGTTTACATTAAAAGCATTTCAATATAATTTAAAATCTGCAAATATAAAGATTAAAACAGCATTAAATATAATTTGTATTAAAATGCAGTTAAAATTGTAAATACATATTCAAACTAAAAACATAGCAACCCCCTGACTAAGTTTCCATCTGCATTTAAAATTAATTCTTCTCTAACATACATAATCTGATAGGATACTTTTGGGATAATGTAGAATGAAATTCAAAATGGTAAATACATAAATAAACATATGGTTGAAGAAAGTTAAATATTGTTGTCAAAAGAATAATATGAGAAAATGATCAGAATGAATATAAGATCAGATGGTAATATTTTAATAGAATATTGATGGATAGAGCCAAAAGGGAAATAGAGAAATAAATTCGGATTGTGTTCACTGGTGGTGAATGATGCACCCAAATCCAAAGTCTACAAAACAGTGATACTTTTATTGGGCCAACCAAAAAAAACCAAAACAAAACAAAAAACCCCACAACATAATAATGCAGCTTTTTGAGACTTCACTGGCTTCTTCATTGGGAAAACATGTTAAAAATCATACAGAAGAAGACATGTGACAACATTAAACACAGGCTTATGTTTTTGTTGTCACAACATGGAAAACTCTAGAAGTTAAGCCAACCCCTTATAAAAGATACAGACCTAAACTGTAATAATGAAATATATGGGGACATAACATATCACATATTGTCGAAGGCTTTCATGGCCAGAATCACTCTAGACCATGGCCATATAGCCCGAAAAAACCTACAACAACCCAGTTTTAAAATGTTGTTTGTGTTTAATTCTGTTTTAATGTTTGTATATTTGTATATTTTAAATTGGATACCAATGCTTTTATGTCAAGTCTCTTTGAGTACCCTTTAGGGAGATAAAGCGATGTTTAAATATATTATTATTATTAATAATAATAATAATAATAATAGTAATAATAATAATAGTAATAATAATAATAGTAATAATAATAATCATCGTCAGCAGCGAAGTAACTTCTATTGAGATCTAGGCAAATGTTGACCTGTGCAGAGCTAATTGTTCCTTTCTTAGGCAGAGAACTTTGAATTTCTCAAGAAGTCTGTACTGTTATATCTGGAGTCTCGTATAGGTAAAACATGCCAGTTGTAATTCAAATGGAAGAGCTTAACCTCTGTTGGGATAAAAACTTTAAAGATTTAAGCCATCTAAGATGATTTAGAGAGATATCAATCAGTGAATAAGAACATTTGTCTAAAGGCTAAGTAGAAACAGCCTGTCATGAAAATGCTGTGTACTTAAATCAGCAATACAATTAGCATGCATGTTAAAATCATTCCAAGAGTAGGAAATGAAGATCAAAACTAACTGTAATTGAAGATCAGGTGGAATAAGTGAGAGTAGTTGGTGACAAATACAACTGTCAAACAGAGATTGATAAATTAGAAAATGGAGGGGAGAGGTACAAATATCAAATGAAAAGAAACAAAGTGGTAAAGGCACTAAGCTACATCTAACAGTTCTACTTATAGAGCTATCAAAACGAATATGTCCTGCTAACTGAAAGTGCCATAAATTAAGTTTAAATGAACGAGTCTACTCTAATTTGGGTCAGTAAGTGAAAAAGTGTGAAACAACATAAATCACAAAATCAGAAGAGTAGCATAGATAAACGGTAGCGCTTAATATTGTTTGCCATTAGCGGTTCTGCTATTTTACAACACAGCATGAGATAATTTTCTAGATATTCAGTGATCAGGTTAAATAAACAACACCATCTTTTGCCCTCCCCCCTCTCTATTTCAGCTTAGTCCATTTGTCTATAGTGAATTTGCCAGAGAGAGAAATCTTCACGTCTCGCTACTTGATCGGTTATATGAACATTACCCTGCAGAATTTCCATGCAGAATCTTGCTGTGTGAGAACTATCGCTCCCATGAAGCTATCATCAAGTAGGTGTGAACTTTTTCACTGTATCAGTTTTGCTTGGCTGTTGCAAGTATCTTGTAGAGCGTTCAAAAATTATTTACTATAATTGGAAAGAGAAGAAGTTTAATCACACAAAACCTGTATTAGAATAAAGTGGCACTGTTTCTTTATTTTGAAAGGTAATATCTATGAACATTATTTTGCTGTGTGACTGAGAAAGCTTATCGTAAAGAGCATTGTGGTCGTCTGGCTGACATATTCTTCATTATGAGGTCTAATGTTGATTTAACTGGTTCCTAACTCATGTCTCCATTCTCACTCTTGTGAGCCTGCTGAAAAAAATTCAAATATTTTGCATGAATAATACCACTTCTTGCAAGGTAGCATAGTTTTGTTATGTTTCGCCCTCCTAAATGGAACCTGCTGACCAGTTGGGAACATCCAGTTTGGTTGGGTGTTTAAGTGTTGAGAATAAATCATGTTTTATGTCAACTGGAAGGGTGTTAATCCTTGGAGACTGAAGTCCTTATATCTAGATGTCATGTGATAAGCAGCGTATCTAATGTGCCAGGGGTCTAAGACAAAAACATATTAAAAGTGCAGGAGATAGACAGGAATAAAGGTAGATCTGGGGAGTGCTGAAAAGAGGCAAAGGATAGATTCGTATTAGTGCAATATACTAACAAAATACAGAGAAATGCAACCATTCTCAGAAGACACAAAATCAGCCAGCTTTCAGCAGCCAATTTCTACAATAGTGTTATTGTTTTATGGTGCTACATCCATATACCACCCCCCCCCCCCCCCCCCCCCCCCCCCCCCCCCCCCCCGCCGCCCCGGTTCTCTCCATGTTAGCATTATTATTGCCAGTATAGTGGACCAACAGTTTTTTGGCTAGGCACTGCGTGAGAGTGACAACACTTTACCTGCTTACTATTCATGGATAAACATGAAGCTTAATGGGGACAGAAAATGACACTGCTTATGTTGAATAACAAGAAGACAAGTTACGGCATTATTTTTTATTTAGGATCTTCTCTATTCTTGAAGCTTTTCTACTGACAGATTAGAAAGCTAATAATAATTCAGCCATGATTAAATTATTAGGAGCAGATCACAAGAATGTGTGGTCTCCCCTTCTTTGATGTGTTATCTAGTCATACTCTGCAGGCTTATTGTATTGCTGAATCCCTGGAAATGATTTGGAATAAACCCATTAGTATCGGTACAAGCATAAAAAGTAAGCCATTTTTTCTTTTTTAAAAAACAACATGTAGATCCTGAAGTACTAGAGGATGAATACATTTATCTAAAAATAGCTGGGCAACTGTGAAAGTATGGGAGCAAGTTTGCAACCCAGGCCTCTTCCACATAACTGAATAAAATCCCACATCTTCTGCTTTGAACTGGAAAATATGGCAGTGTGGACTCAGTTCAAAGCAGATATTGTGGGATTTTTCTGCCTTGATATTATGGGTTATATGGCTGTGTGGAAGGGCGCCCAGTGATCCCACGGCAGACCGCAGCACCCAAAGTCATCCAAAAATCACTCAAAAATGAAAGTAGTTATTATTATTTGTTGATGTGTGTGTGTGTACATATTGAGATATACATGCATAGTCTATGTCAGGCATGTCCAAAGTCCGGCCCAGGAGCCAGTTGTGGCTCCTGTTCAAAATTCCAGTGGCTCTCTCTCTCCAGGCCTCCCCCCTCCCTCTCTTGCTTCATTCCTTCTTCCCTTTCTTGAGCCTCCCTCCCTTCCTTCATGGGCATCAGAGCCTCTGAAAAGGTGGTTCCTCAGGAGGAGAGAAAGAGAGATGATGACCTCGTGCATTCCTTCACCCCAATTAAGTGGTTCCAGCCTCGGCCAGCCCATTCCAGTGGCTCCTTGTCTCTCTCTCTCTTGCCCCACAAATGTTTCTTTATTTATTTGCAAAGGAAGACTCCCCAGTTGCCCTGCTTGCCTCAGGTGCTCGCTATTGCAGCCGCCGCCGCCGTTTCTGCTGCTGCATGGCTGGGAAGGATAGGCCATGGAGTYCGAGTGCCTGCCTGGCTTCCCTCTCTCCCTCCCTTCCTCTCTTCTCCACCCTGCCTTCATCCCATGTTGCAGTCACTGCATTTTCCAAAAAAAAAAAAAACAAAAACTGCCCTTCCCTGTGGCTCCTCCCTTGAGAAAAAAAGGGAAGAGCCAGGCAGCAACTATAAGCCACACCTTCCACAATCAAAGGTCYCCCGACAGATGGCCATGCCACCTCTGCTGAAAAATCTCCTGAGAAAGAGATTCCACCGGACTCTGAGGCAGCATATGCCACTTAAAACACACTGGACYGGGCTGTGGTGCAGCTAGTTAGTAGTCAGCTGCATTAAATCACTACTGACCGAGAGATCATGAGTTCGAAGCCAGCCTAGGTCGGAGTAAGCTCCCAGCTATTAATAGTCTAGCATGCTGTTGACTTGTGTAGCCTGAAAGACAGTTGCATCTGTCAAGTAGGAAATTTAGGTACCGCTTTATGCAGGGAGGCTATTYTAACTAATTTACAACACCATAAAACCTTCCAGCAGCATGCATAAGAAAGAGGAAATACTCCATCAAGGACTCGGTGTCACAAGTGGATGGTGAAGCAACAGCTCCTTCTGTGGCTATAATCGAGAATTACCTTCATGATGCCGGAAAGCTGGAATGTTAAATTGCCTCTGTGTCTGTCTGTATATTGAATATTTGCCATGTATATGTGCATTGTAATCCGCCCTGAGTCCCCTGCTGGGTGAGAAGGGCAGAATATTAATACTGTAAATAAAGAAATAATAAACAAATACAACAACAATCCTAATTAACTACCATTCCCATTGAAAGACTGGTATGTTTATGTTGGTTAAAAATTTTCTTCGTTTTATGTTTTGTGTTGTTTTTTTATGGGTGTTTTTTGGCATTACAAATAAGACATATGCAGTGTATGTAGGAATGTGTCCATGTTTTTTTCAAACTATAGCCTGGCCCCCCAACAGGCTGAGGGACCATGAACTGGGCCTTTGTTTTGAAAGTTTGCACATCCCTGGTCTGTGTGATTCAGAAGATGAAAAAAGTTATATATATTTACTGAAAAGCCTTTGTAAAGGGGCATGTCGAGGACTAGACTTATTACTGCAGGGGTAGGGCAAATGACGTGTGGCCTCAACCTGTTTGTGGCCTAAGTTCCTCCCTTGCCATTAAGCCTCCATATCCTATTTATTTTCTAAAAATTGAGGGCGAGGAAACTACTCATAATGCAGCAGGACTACAGGCTTTGTGCATGTGTGTGTTTGGTGGACACAGGATGAAACAGCTGCAATGAGGTGCATTTGAAGGACTAGACAAAAATATTTCTTTTCCTGGAGGTAAGGGTGGCCTGTGGGACAAATACTGCCTTTCTCTTGTTTGTATGGAATATGTGGAATATGCCTCAAAACAACTGCCAACCCTCTGTAATCCCCACACTTTTTTGAAATGCAGAGGTTGGACAGAAACGAGGTTGGAAAATAGGTAGTTCAATTGAAAAGGTGACTTCCAGGTCACATTTGTAGCCAAAAATACCTGGATAGGGTCCAGGATGGTGATTGAAATCAAGTTGTCCTGCTTCAGTTGTTCCTCTGCACTTGTGCTGCTATGCACAGGCATCCAAGAAGTGTCATTGTTGGAAAATTTCCCTCTCAAAGCTTTTCCGTTCACAATTGAATTGGCAACAGAACAATCACCATCTTGGAGGCGGTTTAGCTCAGAGTCTAAGTGTTGACTGTTTTGTTCTGAATAATCACGTTTCCTTGTTTCATTTTTGGTCTGGATCAAAAGTGCCAGTGTAGCTATGCCCTGGGAGGATAGTCTGTCCAGTGGGATTTTCAGTCTCTAGGCCAGGGGTCCTCAAACTTTTTAAACAGAGGGCCAGGTCACAGTCCCTCCAACTGTTGGAGGGCCGGATTATAATTTGAAAAACAACATGAATGAATTCCTATGCGCATTGCACACATCTTATTTGTAGTGCAAAAAACACTTAAAATCAATAAATAATTAACATTAAGAACAATTTTAACAAATATAAACTTATTAGTATTTCAATGGGAAGTGTAGATCTGCTTTTGGCTGATGATTTAGGATTGTTGTTGTTGTTGTTGTTGTTGCTGTTGTTGTTTCAATTAGTTTCAGACTTAGGTTGATCCTGAGCAAGGGCCGTGTAGATGACCTTCGAGGGCTGTATCCGGCCCCTGGGCTTTAGTTTGAGGACCCCTGCTCTAGGCCACATTACAGACTTTCACCTCAGCTTCAGAGGTGTGTGTGTGTGCGCGTTTCCTTTTTCCTCACCTGTCCCACTTAGTTATTTTAAATGTTATATCTCTTTTATGTGAGAATTTCAAGTACCCTTCAATATATTTTTGTTGCCCTTGTCTTTTGTTCTCTAGTTTTTTGTGGCATCATTTCAAAGCTCTCTCTGTTCTCAGCTGTTTTATATTCAGAATGTGTTTTAATATTGTATCTCAGATAACAGTAATTTTTTCTCACCATGACGTATTCACCCTAATTTAAGTGCAGAAGTGTCACAGAACTCAAATCAGCCTGGGTAGCACTGCTTGGCAATATGCACCGTCCTTAGTCCTGAACAGCACTGAGTTCTGCAGAAATTCCTTTCTTCTTGTTGTTGTTCTTGTCTCCGTTGGTATGAAAAGGAAATGCAGATGTGCAAGTGTCATGACTGGCTATTTCTCTTTTCCTTCTCCAGCCATAAATATCTAAACTAAGTTTTAGGATCTTTCCTACTGGAACTGGAGGAGGAGGAAGCTGCTCTTCCAGTCTGTGGGTCAGGGAGAGAAACCGATTGCAGGCTGAAGAATGTTTGCCTTCTGTTTCTGTGGGACTAGCATTTTAGTGCCTTTCTCATCCTCTTACCTCTGTGTGTATCTGTTTCCATCTCACTTCCACTGTCTCTGTGTGGATCAGCTGGAGAGCTTACACATTGATGATAACAACAACAACAACAACAACAACAGCAACAGCAACAACAATACTTTATTTATATTCTGCTCTATTTCCCTTAGGGGACTAAGAGCGGATTACAACATACACAGATATGCAAAAATTTAATGTCTTCAATACAGTGGAATGACAATGACATGCTAACATGCAGAACAACGGTAAAGACTTCCCCTTCATCTCCTGCTTTCTGGAGGCAGTTCTCAACTCTGGTCATAGGGAGGTTCTCTTGTTCCATTTCCAAGCTGAGGAGCCTGTTGTCCATAGACATCTGGTTGTGTTGGTGGCATGGCTGCATGGGCGCCTTTATTACCTTCCCTCCAAAAGGGAAGACCTATTGATCTTCTTACATTTGCATGTTTTCGAACTGCTAGGTTGGCAGAAGCTAGGGCTAATAGTTGGAGCTCACCCCAATCTGCGGCTTTGAACTGCCAACCTTGAGGTTAGCAGATTCAACAGTTCAATGGTTTAACCTGTTGTGCCGCTGCGGCACATCGCTTTTAAATTTTATTTGGCATTTAGTTTTAAAGTTATTTTGTTTTCTTCACTGCAGTTATACTTCTGAACTTTTCTATGAGGGCAAATTGATGGCAAGTGGAAAACAGCCAGCACACAAGGATTTCTACCCACTCACTTTCTTCACAGCACGAGGAGAAGATGTGCAAGAAAAAAACAGTACTGCTTTTTACAACAATGCTGAGGTAGCACTTGGGTTTCACCTTTAATTGCTTTCTTGATCATTGTAATTTTTGCTGCATGTCATTAACTTAGCTCTCCCAGAAAGCTTTAATTTTATGCCTTCAGTGTTTTAGATGATGATCTTAAAAATGTTAATTCGAAAATTAGTATGATTTGTCAAAAGCCTTTTCACATGACTGCTTTAATATTAGCTGCCGCAGTTTTGTATTTCAGCTGTATTACTCTTTGGCAAAATAATATTGATAATATACATTGTGGCTTCTAAAATATAAAGTAGTCTTGTAAGTGGAAGAATTAGATAGCCCTTCAAGCTGGCTGATTGTAAAGCACTATGCAGGCCCCAAGAACCCCACTGCCATTCAATTTTTCACAGTTCTGTTCTTGACAAAAAGAAAACAAAATTTATTCTTAAAACACTTGAAATAATAAAGCTCTAAATCCCATTGGACTAATAGAAAATTGGGGTTTTTTTTGGTAAAACATAGAGTAATTTGAACAATATAATTTTGTTGTTTGTTTCTATATATTGGAACATCCACTTTTTTATTGTCTTGGCTATTTTGATTTCCTGAAAATACATGTGCATCATAACATCTCAGAAATTCTGTTACTTAGCAGTCCTTTCTCTTATAATTTTCCATCAACAACATTCAGCCATATTTTGTATTATCATTGCTTGCAGCATCATGCTAAATCAGATGGGCAGCATTTCCACAGATCATACAGCTGCCCAGTCATGTCCAAAACCTAAAAATCTAGAGGCGCCTTGCCATCTTCCTTTGGCAGGCTTTTTGCACCCTGCTGTTTTTTTGTCAATACCTTTCCCTTTGATTTAAGACACATCTTTGAACTGCTGGGAACTTACAAACCAGCTTCTAAAAGTCTGTCTGATCCTTGTGTTTTAAAAGCAGCTTTTAAAAAAGCCTGCTTTCCCAGGTTTTCTGAGTTTTTCTTCTTTGGAGCAGTGTCATGATCATTATTTTATATTCTTTTGAAGTTTCTTATCTGTTTTTTCCCACAAGATACAAAAACCGCATGAACACAGTTGTGCTTCTCTCCTCCTTCCCTCTCTCTTCCTCACACAAACATAAACACACACACACACACACATCTTTCTTCTAAAGGATGTTGCTCCTTTCAGCTACTAACTTCTGCAGGACCATTATTGTTCTCAACTAGAAACAGGAAATGTGCCTTTCATCTATTTGTTATACTTTAGAGTAAATTTGAATTTTCTATTCATGTGATAATTACATTTTGCTCAAGATCACGTCAGGTACCATTCGCTATTACATCAGCTATTCTCCTTTTGGCCATTGGCGAGCAGCTTATATATCAACATTGATTGATATCTCTACACATTTGTGTCCCTTTGGATGAGTCATGTGTAGTCAAAGCCAGATGCCAATAAATATTGATATATGAGCTCCTCTCTACTGCTGCTTTCAAATGTATATGTTGCTTCAAAAAAGTCCTATGCTACTTCCATGAAATGGAACCCAAGAACTAAGAACATTCATTGCAGAAACATGTTGGAAAGCCAAAGCCTCTCTAACTCAAATGCTAGTCTTTTTTTGGGTCCCATATTGCTATAATGTGCTAGAAACAATCTAGATAGAACAGTGGTTCTCAACCTGTGGGTCCCTAGGTGTTTTGGCCTACAACTTCCAGAAATCTCAGCAGTTTACCAGCTTTTAGGAATTCTGGAAGTTGAAGGCCAAAACATCTAGGGGCCCACAGGTTGAGAACCACACTGATCTAGAAGAATGCACAGAACATTTTGTACAAGTCATGATAAAGACTGGGGCGCCGTCCACACTGCCCTATATTCCAGGATCTATCTATAGTAGATTGTCTGGTAGTTTAGACTCATATAATACAGTTTATAGCAGATAATCTGGGATCAGATCCTGCGATATAGATCATTGTAGCTCTAGCTCGACTCCCTCTCTTCTGCCGCTCTGTTGGTCTCTTATTTTCCTTTTAGGAGTTTTAGCCACAGGCACCTTCTACACTGCCCTATATAATCCAGATTATCTGTTTTGACCTGGATTATATGGTAGTGAAGACTCATAATCCAATTCAAAGCAGATAAAGTTGATTATCTGCTTTGATAATCTGGACTATATGCAGCGTAGAGAAGTCCTTTGATTTTGGAAGATGACAGGAACTTTGTCTGCACCAAATAATGTGCAGCACATCGATAGATTATTATTTATCATGTGGAGAAAAATTTTGCATATTAGAAAAGATGCTGAACCCATATTTCTTCAATATGGACTCCCCTTCAATTAGTTCTCCATCTAGATATGATAGCAACGACTTCTTTTTAAAAAATGTATGATTAAATCTTGATCCCTTGTTCCTTCTCCCAAAAACTGAACACAATATGTGTACAGAGAAAATGGATCTAGTTTTCTCTTCAGTTGGAATACATTTTAAAAACAATTTTCACAGATTTGCCAGCCAGATTAACCCAACCATAACATTGCATCCAAACCTGATAGCAAAAAGGTCGTGAATCTGGCAAAGGCTTCTCCTTCCCCAATAATGCTAATATTCCCACCTCATTATACCCCCTTAAGGGCTTGTCTGCTCGATCCACCTCAATAATGCCAACATTTCCTCCCACTCTCCATTATATTGCATTAAGGGCTTGCCCTGATCTGATGACTTAAACACAATGGCAGAAAGTTCCTTGGTTTTGGATAGTCTTGACTAAGACAGTTGTGTAATAGACATTGTCTTTGAATTGAGTGTTTTTCCATAAAAACCATGAGCATTAGCAGCTGCTTTAAACCAAGTCAAATCATCAGTCTATCTTGCTCAGTGTTTACTGACTTACAGCAGCTTTCAGGATTTCAGGTAGGAAGTTTTTTTAAAAAAAATCTGGAAAGTTTAATACTTTTTATTCATTTTTGAGTTGCCCTTCTCAGTTCTCTCAGGTGCCTCTCTAGCCAGCCATTTACAAAAATGTCAAGTATGGTTATGGGGAGATATTATACATACAATAGAATGAAGGTTTATAATTTATTCTGATCTCATGGAGTGTTAGCAGTTGATATGGTCATTCTCAAAGTTCTGTTATGTAGATTTTAAAATCTCACTATGGAGAAATTTACAATATCAGCACTTCCCTCTGTCTTTATGATGTACTGATTTTTTTAAAAAATATGCAAATATTGTTGTTCAACCTAAAATATTTGCTATTTTGGAAGAGGTTGCAGGAATTGAAGTGGGGTTGCTAGTTTTCAATCTGTTTTAGTGTCTGACCTGCCACATGGTGGCCGGAGTGTAGTAGAACTCATCTTGTGCAGTGGCACCTGAGAGTATCTGAGGAGCACAAACTGCAGATCATTATTTTACAATATTTCATAATCACAGTACATGACATCTCATAGCAGACATGCTCCTCTATAGCAACTATGGCCTTACAGATATTGTTCAAATCCTATAATTGTTTAAGCTGGGTGTATGCTGAAAGTATTCCAGCATCTAAAAGGATGCACATTCCCCCATCCCACCACCCTAGTGAAATGGCAGTTTAAAGATTTTTCAGCTAAATAAA